CGGCGCGATATTTGACAAGGTTTATATGGACCTCACGGGACCCTTCCACACATCTAATTCAGGTAACCGATATATTAGGGTGAACGGTAAAAAATGGGACAGCTTGATTTTAGTTACATTTTGGAGTTTTTTGTTTCGAGCAACAGCAAGTAGGCTGTAACTTAAATGTCGCTTACATGGGCGACCTTCACCTATTATTCTGACAACGCGTTAACGCTCCTCTTCCACTACCCTACGCGTGGCGCCTTGAAGAACTCAGACAGGGTTTTTTTTGAACAATTCTCAATCTTGCGCTGCTATACCGTAAAATTGTATAGCAAATTACATACCATTCGAAAGAGCTCTTCATGCTCTTTCAAATGATATGTTAAATGCATGAGTTTTCTTCTCAATTTCAGAAAAAAAAAAGCGAAAAACCCTGAAAAACAGCTATTTTTGGCGCAATAAAAAAACCAAAAAATCATGTTTTGCCCTACATTTTTCGAAGATAGATGAAATCTGAGGTAAGCTGCATATGGATGGATAGAGCGTAAAAAGCTCTATCAGATGATACCTAGAAAACATGCGTTCACCTGCAAAGAATTGAATAACGCGTATCTTCGTTCTCAAAGCTGTTAATGGCCATATCTCCTGACTTTGAAAGTTGATGCCACCAAGTCGTCGTGGGTTTGGTGACTGTCCCACCACCCATTGCAGGAGTGGTACTTTGGGTGGTCTCACATGTTTGACTGCGCAGAAACTGCTCGAAGTTCATGATTTGTCGAAGTGACTAACTTTGCACTTCAGCAAGTATAAAAGTTACTAGGTGTGTAAATGACCTTATACAGGTACTTTCTGAAAGAGAATATTTATTCTAATATCCACCAAAATTGGAAAGTTCAACCACATTTCTTCCTTGAGAAATCTGCAATTATTCTCAAGGTGTCCCATTTTTTACCGTTCACCCTAATATATTAGCCATGATTGACCATTTTTCTAAATATGTCATAGCTGTGCCAATTCCAAATTGCAAAGCGGTTACGGTAGCGCAGGCAATCATGAACAACTGTATCTTACAATACAGTGTTATGACGCAACTAATCTCAGACAATGCGCCCTATTTTCGGGGGGAAGTCATTACGGAACTGGGTAAGCTACTGCGCATCGACAAATACTACACAACGCCTTATCACCATGAGGGAGACGGAGCCTGCGAACGCGTGTTTGCCACATTTCACCCTATGATGCGCATATATGTTAACGAATCTATTGAAAATTGGGATGCTTTCGTACCAGCATGCGCATTTATGTACAATACCAGAATTCACTCCAGCACCAATAATTCGCCTTTTTTCTTGATGTTTGGTCGAGATCCGGTGTTCAATATTGACCTTATGATACAACATCAGGCTTACAATCACATACCAGTTGATGTGGAAACACGTACCTACGTCCAGAACCTGGTAGCTACCTTGCATCAAGCTTGGCAAACGGCTTCAGAATTTAACAAGAAACGGGCAGCGCAAATCAAACACCAATACGATAAGAGTAATTTACAACCATTAGAAATTAAAGTAGGGGACAGAGTTTATCTTAAGGACTTCAATCCTCGTTTAGGAATCTCTCCTAAATTGCAATACCCGTGGCTGGGACAATTTCGAGTGATTGAGATTCAACACCCCCACCTAATTGTCACCAGCATTTCAGCCCCACAAACGCCAGCTAAGCGAGTACACATGAATCACGTAAAACGTTGTTTTGAACCTTCAGGCCCAGTATTCACCACACCATGGCAACCTGAGGATGAACAAGCAGCCCTAGCCCAAGCTGAAGCAAGGACGGCTGAGATTGTGGGACGCACGCACGCGATAAAGGATCAGGTATTGAAACCAAATTTGACACTCGTTCCAGGGCACCCGTACAACACACGTTTTAGAGCACGCCTTCAGTCTATTTAGATCCCGCAGGGAGGAAGCGTCACATCAACTGCCTTCAATGCATTTTATTCCTTCAGTTCCTCACCAACAAGTTTATTCTCGCAAACACTCTCCTCCTTTGTTACACTTAGTTCCTCAGTTCACAAGTTCCTTAGTTTGCACCTAGTTACAGTTTAGCCATGTCTCCTAATCGCACGTGCACACTATTCGTCCGTTCAACTCTTCCTTACGTCCCACATAGCACACTCAAAAACCTTGTTTCAGATAGCGCTCATTGTAACTAGCGCTCACGACTATTATGTTCCCGTTCATATTCCACCGTTTGCCCAGCGACTCATCGAGTTCTGCGGACGCCCCCCGGGACGGCAATTCCACCGACAGTTCCGGGGATAGCAGCCATGGAATGGCAACAACAGATAGGCCTTCGGCACCCCCCGCCGAATCAACACCGACACCGTCCTTGGCCTCAGAGGACCTGCTAGCCAGCGATCCAGAGATACAAGCGATGTGTGAGTCACCACTCAATATAGATACAATTTCTCTTACATCAACATTCTCTAGTTCTTGTGACATTACAGGTGCCCAGACACCTCAGCCACGTAGTGGCACTTCACAGATAGTGAATCCGATACAACAACCAACAACTACCCCTCTCCCTCCTCCGCAGCAAGGAACTTCGCAGATGTCTGATCCGGGTCCAGGTCCAAGCAACCAGCCAGTACCAGAACCGCTTCAGCAACCAGCACCGCCAAACAACGAGTACGGAGAGACCGCAGCCCACTCCAGGTACCAGAGCAAGTGCTAACCAACAAGCGTCCTTTTCCCTTCAAATCCAAACAAAAACCTTTTAAGCGTCCTATGTTGGAACCTCGAGACGCGGCATTGCCACCACGAAGCCCGGACACTTCTGGCACTACCTGGTCAACCATCATCCATGGGCACGCCACGTACGCCCCCGCCAGATTCGCCGCGATGAAATCGCAGAGCAACAGATATCCAACGATTTACCAGTGGACGTGTATCGCCATGTACCACACTTGGGCTATGCCGCAATTCGATTCGTCCGCTCCCTGTTCCCGCGGACACCACCAAATCTGAAAACGGTGCGAGCACCCTTGGCCTTCATCGAATTCTCCAACCTCGAAGATGCTGTCATATTCCGAGACAAGGCCCAAAGAGTACTAGAAGCTACCTTACGAGGAGATGGCGAGCTGGTACAACAAGAAAGGACGATGGCACCCAAAGATGTTCGTTCGTCGATCCTCTTGCCGCCCAAACTCAAAGGAAGTTATCCAGTATTGTACCAGATAGCAGCCATAGGATCTAACAGCCTGGTAGTCGAAGCTAAAGATTTCTTTGTCTTCATGCCGGATAGACTCGAACTTCATTGTATCCTGCTCGACCGATTTTCCCTGAATATCGAAAATAATACTTACGACAGGCATTTGATATCCGTCAAGGATTTTGTGTGGGTCTATGAAGTCGCACCAACCATCGCAGCCGTACGGTCGCCGGCGCGTTGTCTCCAGCTGGCCAGGATACCTCGGACAGCAGCACTCGAAACGAATACCCAGTTTTTCTTCCGGGCCGCAGTGTTTGCTTTTGTGACACCAGCCGTCTGGACCCAGCCTCACTTAGGTGTTGTGCTCAAGTTGACCCGCAGAGGCGAGACCGTTAACAACTTCAAGATGGCGCTAGAAGGAGTCCCAGAGGCTGTGACCATCACTAAATCTATCTGTGAGTTCGAATGGCCGGATGTTCAGGAGGATGAAATCCTAATAGCACAGAGCCGGAAGAACGTTTCCTGCGCAGTCAGATTCTCCGAGCCACCCGCATCGAAAACCGCACGGGACTGGCTCCGTCGTCAAGTCGAGCACTTCTGCCCAGCCCACCCCGATGAAGGCATGGTTCCCATGAAGGTTAGGAAGGCACGTCAAGAAGATATCGACTGGTTCTTCGACCGAACCGGGGAATTCAACAACTTTGTCAACAACCACCCTCAAGCACTCCGCAGGATGAGTAAAGTTTTCAGTATGGCGTGCGCTGCACTAGTAGCACTTCAGAACCTGGACGATGACAACAGAACACACAGAGTCACCGCTACGGTTCCGTCGGTATCGTCACATCCGCTCCAACTGCAGCTCACACTGCAAGACATGTCATCAATGGAGGGATGGACGAAACATCGTCCCGTGGGAGTGTGGATCATGGACGTCTGGTGGTTCACCAAACTTGAGGTAGATGAAGCTGAGTTCCAAGAAGAAACCAGAGAGCTTCGAGTGACCCTTGCCACTTACTCACAGATGGAGCAGTTGCTGAGGAACGCCATCAGAGACGTCGTCCGCAGAGTGGGAAACACCGCATTTTTGGATCTTTTCGTCAAGCTAGGCCGAACTCCGGCAAACGCCAACCCGGCGTTCGAGTCAGTCTCCAGAATGGAGATATTCAAGGACTTGGAGGAAGGCGGAGCCGACGTTAGCGTAGTTGACATCGCATACGGAGCACAGGAACTAGGATGTAAAACGGCCAAAGAAGCGGAAGGAGATGAAGACGAACCACTCATCGACTCGATAACTCTGCACGGCCGCCGATTGGAGCTAACGCGCGATCAGCAGGAAGCACTGGCACTGGGAAACAGCAAATATCCACTAATAGCAATTCAGGCTGCGTTTGGAACAGGCAAAACGGTTGTTGGCGCCTGCGTGGCCATACGCCAAGCTCTCGCTGGACAACGGGTCATCATCACCGCCTCCACCAATACCGCCGTAGCCCAGTTTGCGAACACCATCCTCGAATTCGGGGAGGCGCAGCAGGTTGGGGTGACTCGCTTCGTAGCAGAAGCCATCGCTTTCGACACGGACGCGCCGACAACCGCCGTGGACCTTCCTGAAATCTTGAAGATGGTCGGAACGGTGTTCCAAAGACAGCTCACGAGGAGGGAGAAGGAGACGTGCCGGACCTTCACGCAGGGACGAATACGATACGAAAGTTACAAGAGGGAGCGACGCATCGACCTGACGGATCAAGAAAGGGAAGACTTCATGTTGGCGGAAAGGGACGTCTCGCGAAATTTACAAGACATGGTGGATATCATGTTCCGTCGTATGGACCCCAAGATTGTCTGTATCACAACAGCATCGTTGCTCAATACTACGGACACGGACGGTCTGTTCAAGGGTTACCTCGACAAGTTCGATCTCATCATATGCGACGAAGCATCGCAAGTGCCAGAACCGGTGTTTATGGCAATGGCGGCGCGAATCCCGCGGGCCCGGCACATATACATTGGTGACATCCATCAGTTAGAGCCGTATGCTCGCTCTTCGAGACTGTCCAACCCCGCCAGACTCGGCGCACAGAGTATCATGAACGTCCTCCAAAGAGCGCGAGCCGTTCCGATGCGCAGCCTCATCACCACCTTTCGAGCGCACCCGGCGCTCATCGACCTCCCCAATACTCTGTGCTATGAAGGCTCGTTGGTAAGCGGTGTGACCGCAGCAGACAGACACCAGTTATTGGACATCATGGATTTCCCGAACCCTCACTTACCGTTCATGTTCGTGGACGTCAACGGAACGTCGGTGCAGTCAGCCTCCCACTCGCATTATAACGAAAGGGAGAAGATGGTATGCGAGTTTTTGGTTACCACGCTCGTTAGGAAAGGAGTGGCACCGAGTGACATCGTCGTCATTACTTTCTACAAGGACCAATACAGGCGCCTGGAGGAATTCGTCACGAGAGTCGGCGTAAACCTCTCCACTGTGGACACCGTCCAGGGAAGGGAAAAGAACGTCGTGATCGTCTTGACAACGAAGACGCACTTTAATCCGGAGGGAGCGGAATTTCTGGGGGATCCCCGACGGATGAACGTCGCCCTCACCCGATGCAGACATGGGCAATTCCTGTTAGGCCATCAGGAATCCCTTGAGAAGGTGCCGTTTTGGAGGATGGCCCTGGAATGGGCGCGAAACCAAAATGCAATCGTTCCGTCGACGAGCCTGGGCCGTTACCTGCGGGCGTAAACACAGAGGGTAAGCAGTTGAGTTGTTAGTAGGCAGACATCTTGAAAGTCCCTTCAGGACTTTAGGGTAAATTGGGGAGGTGTAAGAGTTCCTCTATTAATACAGATGTTTACAGAAGGCAGCGCAGATGACGCTGATAACGCGCCGAGCCGCGTACAAGAGGATGCCGCGGAGAGGAAGAAGAGAGAGATCTCGGAACCCCCGGCTGCAGAGCGGCACGCTCACCTACAGATCGTCTGGCTCCAACCTCTGCTGTTTACTGTTTACCGTCATGTATTATGTCTAGTAAACCATGTATTACCACTGTGTATCGCCTACTAGTAAAGAGAAATATCTTTCGGGCCCGGATCTTACTCTATGAATCTATCTAAATCTAGTAAATCTAATCTAATAAATTGATATCGATTCAATGTGCACCTCACAAAATTATTCCGAGTTTTGTGTGTTCCCATTATATTAGGGTGATCAGTAAAAAATGGGGCAGCTTGATTTATATTAAATTTTGAGATTTTTTGTTTCGATCAACAACAAGCAGGTTGCAACGTGAACGTCTTGCGCTGCCATACCGTAAAGTTATAGAGCAAATGATAAAAAAAAAACAAGATACTTGAAAAGTCACGAGTTTTTGGCTCAACAAAAACCAGTAAATCAAGTTTCAATCTGTAATTTCCGAAGATAGATAAAATGTGAGGTAAGCTGCATATGGCTGGATAGAGCGTAAAAAGCTCTTTTAGATGGTATAAAACATACGTTCACCTGCAAAGAATTGAATAGCACGTATCTTTGTCTCAGAGCTGCTAATGGCCATATCTCCTGAATTTGAAAGTTGAGGCCATCAAGCCGTCGTGGGTTTAGTGGCTGTCCCACCACCCACTCCAGCAGTAATATACTTTGGACGGTTTTGCATGCTTGACTGCGCAGATACTGCCCGAAGTTTATAATTTGTCAAAGTGACTAACTTTGCATTTCAGCCACTATAAAAATTATCAGGTACTAGCTGGCTTACCCGGCTCCGCCGTATCCGGACCAAACTTGGCACACATACACTTCGGGCCCCGGCGGGTGTCACAGTCCACTTTTCGTTATCGATCGATGTCGATTTTACCGATTTTTATCGATTTTTTTGCAGAGTTCACCTACAGGGCTAGGAGTTGGCAAAGGGGGGGGGGGAAGTGAGCATGGGGATTCCGAATACAATATTAGTTTTCAGAATTATCGATTACTTTTATTGATTTTATCGATTTTTTGTAAATTTTGACATGCGAGGCTGGGATTTTGCACAGGGGGTAATCGAGCATGCTGATTACGAACACAATATTAGTTTTCAGGATCGTCCATTACTTTTATCGATTTTATCGATTTTTTTTGTAAAGTATGACCTGCGGGGCTGGGAGTTTGCACAGGGGGGGGGGGGGTAATCGAGCATGCAGATTACGAATACAATATTAGTTTTCAAGATCGTCCATTACTTTTATCGATTTTATCGATTTTTTGCATTTGAGCTAGGGGGCTGGAATTTGGCACAGGGGTGTAATCGGGCATGCTGATCACCCCCCTTGGGGATGATCAGCATGCTCGATTAGCCCCCTGTGCCAACTCCCAGCCCCCTAGCTCAAACTTTGCAAAAAATCGATAAAATCGATAAAAGCAATGCACGGTTTCGAAAACTAATATTGTATTCGTAATCAGCATGCTCGATAACCCCCCTGTGCCAAATCCCAGCCCCCTAGCCCAAATTTTGCAAAAAATCGATAAAATCGACATCAATCGATAACGAAAAGTGGACTGTGACACCCGCCGGGGCCCGAAGTGTATGTGTGCTAAGTTTGATTCGGATAGGTTAAGAAATGGAATTTTCTATTCGGAACATACGGCGGAGCCGGGTAAGCCAGCTAGTCTTATATATAAAGCTGAATGTCTGTTTGTATGTCTGTATGTCTGTCTGTCTGTATGTATGTACGTATGTTCCGAATAGAAATTTTTATTTCTGAACCAATCCGGACCAAACTTGGCAAACATACACATCGGGGCCGGGTGGGTGTCATAGGCTACTTTTCGTCATCGATCGATATTGATTTTATCGATTTTTATCGATTTTTTTGCTGAGTTCACCTACGGGGCTGGGAGTTTGCACAGGGGGTAATCGAGCATGCTGATTACGGATACGGTATTAGTTTTTATAATTATCCATTAGTTTTATCGATTTTATCGATTTTTTTGTAAAGTTTGACATGCGGGGCTGGGAGTTTGCACAGGGGGTAGTCGAGCATGCTGATTACGAATACAATATTAGTTTTCAACATCATCCATTACTTTTATCGATTTTTTTGCAGAGTTCACCTACGGGGCTGGTAGTTGGAACAGGGGGTAATCGAGCATGCTGATTACGAGTACATTATTAGTTTGGCGCTATTCGGCTATCCGGGCCCTAAAATTTTTTTGTCATAGAGCTTGCTCATACTTCGTGTATAAGGGTTTTCTTACATGCTGATTACAGATATCACATTTTCTCCGCAGAACGTCTCCCGGTGTGGTTACGGTAGGTGTACGGTAGGAAGTCAAAAACATGAAATCGGCTGGAGTTCGGTCCAGAGAACTTATTCGACATGCTGATTACGAATTTCATACTCTTTCTCTGCTTGGGACTTTTACATAGAGTTATGTTGGTTATACGGTGTGGGATCGAAAACATAGATTTGCTTTAAACTTCGTCTAGGGTGGTCATATAGCGCTCTGAACATGAATATCATGCTGATTTCGCAAAATGGCGATTTTCTTGGGTTACGGGGGTGTACAGTAGATGGGTCGAAGTTCCAGATTTGCTCAAAACCTTATCTGTAACGGTTCACAAGCATACTGCTTATGAATATGGTGCTTGCTCGCTGTCGTAACGCATTATTGTGAAGTTATGGCGAGTTGCATGGTTTGAATGGACATTTTTTCACTTTTGAGGCAATTTAGATGCCAGATATTTACGAAATGGGGAAACGGCGTTTTGCATGGCGGTCTCCAGCGCCATCCTGATGACCTGTCCCAACGCCTAACGCATGCGGCAAATCTCCCTCTCCCTGTTTTTGCTTAGGCAAAAACCGCCGAAGGGTGTATCGCGCGCGAAATTGGTCCTATAAGGAAAGCACTACGGTCGTGGGAAACTTTTATACCACACAAATTGCCTTTATCGTGGGAATTGAGGACGATTTTCTTAAAACAGCACTTTAGGTAATTCCCTGCCAAGGTTTCAGGCAGGTTTATGATTTTTACCCGCTGCCACGCGATGACTATTATATTTGTCATCTGCGGCTTAAATAACCCCCATATACCGAGTTTGAGCAAGATCGGTCACAAAAACATTTTGGAGGCCGGATAGCCAAATAGTGCCATCAATTTTTAGAATTACCCTTACTTTTATCGAATTTATTGATTTTTTGCAAAGTTTGAGCTACGGAGATGGAGGTAGTGAGGAAGTTAGGTGGGCATACTGATTACTAACACAGCGGAAATAGGGAATTGCATGTAGAAGTGGGCACAGGGAAAGGTTGTACTGGGATAGGGATGAGAGCTTTTTATAGTGTTTTGACAGGGCCGGGCGAAGCCGGGTAAGCCAGCTAGTATGTATAATAATTCGTACTAGAGTGATTCGAAAGTAATGGAGCACCTTGCTTTTTCTTTTTTTTGCACTGTAAAGACACAGGCAAACCCAGCTGCTACAAGTTGCGAATTGTACATAATAATCACTTCGAGTTACAAATTCTCGCTTGTCTTTCCATTTAGACAAGATTCTGCTTTATAGACCAGTTGTTTATTGAACTGTGTACCTGGATGTCAATGCAAAAAAGGGCTCTTCTTTTCTGATGGAAAGTGCGTGTCTGATTGTTCTAAAGGCAAGCTTTTATATGTTGATAGTTTATAGAATGAACGATTCACAGAAATTACTACACAAGAAGTACTGAAAGAAGCGCAGTGCTGCGAAGAGTGTTAAAGCAAAGAAAACCTTAGAAGCTTGCTAACAGTTTGTAAGCGAGCTATTTTAGAATCCAACTCAGATAATCGCCGGGGGCAAGCGCTCAGACAATCGCTGGGGGCAGGCGGGCACCGGAAAAATAGATTGCTGATTTCTCGCACCCCGCTCGCGGATTTTTTGCAAAGCAATCAGGACTTTTCGGAAGACCGCTTGCTGAGTCAGCGGATTTTTGAGAGACCGCCTGTTGAATTTTTTTCGCTCTTATCTTTTGCAGATATATTGCTGAATCTCTGAGGAATCGAGAACTCAGCAAGCGGTCTTGCGAAAAGTCCTGATTGCTTTCCAAAAAATCCGCGAGCGGGGTGCGAGAGATCAGCAATCTATTTTTCCGGTGCCCGCCTGCCCCCGGCGATTGTCTGAGCGGCCATGCGATTTATAAGCAAGCGGGTATCGACAAATTAGTTCGCTGATTTCTGCGGCGCGCTTGCAGATATTTGGAATATTGGCTTTTTAGACGAATGATCGGAGAACAATCGCGGATCTTTCATGGATTAGTTGCGGCGCAGTGGCATCGATGGTACCTCTGCCATCCTCTCCTATAATATAAACCCGATCCCAAAAAACGAGACGGCAAGGATGGTCCGCCCACATGTATGCTTCAGCGGGTGTTTTGAATAGACGCCAGTTTCCGAACGGGGCCTTATTGTGTAGAGACGCGACAGTGCGATCATGAGGTCAAGAGGACGCAGAGGTCCTAGCGCGAACGAGAGGCCACGACACGCAGGGTACGCTCTACTGCTGCAATGGGTGTGTTGAAAGACGCAAGCGCGTGCCAAGGGTGTTGAAATTGCGAGCTGGACATTGTTGCAAAGTTAGTTATAGAAGCATGTTTGATCCGCTCACATTCGATCTCAGTATACACTATGCTTCCATATTTCCGCCAAATTTTGAGAAAATCTTCGAAAATCTCGCTTTTGGGAGCTTTTGCTCTGGGTGAATCCGATTTTTCTCTCCAGATTGTAAACGTGAGTGCGAGAGTGACGTTGCGAAAGGAAACTGTACAGCGATGACTGGGGCAAGACAAAATTTTAGCACGACATGATCCACTTTTCCGCCAAATTTTGAGAAAATCTTCGAAAATCTCGCTTTTGGGAGCTTTTGCTCTGGGTGAATCCGATTTTTCTCTCCAGATTGTAAGCGTGAGTGCGAGAGTGACGTTGCGAAAGGATGATATACAGCGATGACTGGAGCAAGACAAAATTTTAGCACGATATGATCCACTTTTCCGCCAAATTTTGAGAAAATCT